TACACCTAGAAGGGCACATAGACAAGGACTGGGACAAAATTCAGCAGATTATCAGTAACACAGCTAAAGAATGCAATAAAAATATAACTAAAAAGAAAAAAGATTGGTTTGACGAAGAATGCCAGAAGGAAATTGAAGAAAGAAGTAAACTAAGGATGGATATGATCAAAAGTGATACGGAAGAAACAAGAAACAGATATGAAAAACAAAGAAAAATCGTAAAAAAAGTTTTGAGAATGAAAAAGAGAAAGTACATGGAAAATCAGCTGAAAGAAATAGAAGAAAATTACAAAAATCGAGAAATTAGAAATCTATACCAGGGAGTAAAAAATGAAAAAAGAGGATACCAACAAAAAACAATATTTTACAAAGATAAAGAGGGAAACGCCATTAGTGGAGAAAATGAAATAGCCGCTAGATGGAAAGAATACTTCGATGCATTGCTAAATGACGAAAACAGGATAGAACAGCAACAGCCTATAAGAACGGAGAAACATAGGAACCAAATAAATGAGACAGAAGAAACACCCCCTACCAGAAACGAGATAAAGGAAATAATAAAGAAATTAAAAAATAACAAGAGTCCAGGAAGTGATAATATAACTGCAGAGATGTTCAAATATGGAGGGAAAACGCTAGAGGAGCAAATGTTCAAATTAATAAAGGAGATTTGGATTAAAGAACAACTACCACAAGAATGGACAGATGCAATTATATGCCCACTTTATAAGAAAGGCGATAGGACAGATTGTCAAAATTACAGAGGGATATCACTATTGAATACTGCATACAAAATTCTTGCAGCGTGTATAAAGGACAAATTGGCAGGAGTGATAGAAAACATTGTCGGCGAGTACCAATGTGGCTTCAGACCTGGTAGAAGTACAACAGATCAGATATTTACGCTCAGAGAATTGCAAGCGGAAAGTTATCAACACAATCTGCCGACAAGGGTCCTCTTCATTGATTTCAAACAAGCGTACGATAGAATAAAACGGAACCAAATGAGCAAAGCACTAGAAGAATTGGGTATCAGTAGAAAACTTATAAGAATGATACAAATAACATTGTCCAAGACTGAGAGCAGAGTTAAAATAAATAATATAATGTCGGAAAAATTTGAAGTCAGTGAAGGAGTAAGGCAAGGAGATCCCTATCATCGATACTATTCAGCTTGTGTTTGGAGAAGGTCATACGAGATGCAAATGTCAACAGAGAGGGATTGTTATACCAAAGAAAGCACCAATGTCTAGCCTTTGCAGACGATGTAGTAATACTGGCTCGAAGCAAATGGGAGCTACAAGAAGTAGTAAAGAGGTTAGATAAAGAGGCAAAGAAAATAGGCTTAGCCATCAACGAAAGTAAGACAAAATACATGGAATGGATAGATGACAGTGAACAAAAAGGAGGAAATCTAAAAATAGAAGTAGAGGGTGAAAAAGCATATATATTTGAAGCAGTGGAAAGATTTACATACCTGGGGTCGATGTTCACATGCAAACCAAATATTAGAGAGGAGCTCCAATCAAGAATAATGGCAGGAAACCGATGCGTGTACACCTTAAACAGGCTATTAAAAAGTAAACAGATATCTAGGAATGCCAAAATAAGGATTTACAAAACAGTTATACAACCAGTGGTAACCTACGCCAGTGAAGTGTGGACACTGAACAAAGGCGAAACAGGTATGCTCGAAATATGGGAAAGAAAGGTTTTGAGAAAGATATTTGGAGGCAAGATAGTAGACAATACATGGAAAAGAAGAACAAATAAAGAATTAGAAGATATGTACAAGAATCCTAGTATAGTGGGAGTAGTAAAGGCTCAGAGACTCAGGTGGCTAGGGCACATAGAAAGAATGACAAATTCTCGAGTACCAAAAATGATTCTGATGCATACAATGGGTACAAAAAAAAGAAGAGGAAGGCCGAGAAGTAGATGGAAGCAAGAAGTAGAGAAAGACCTAGAAACACTGGGAATAGAAAGATGGAAGGACAAGGCTAATAATAGGAAGAAATGGAAAACAATAACAGCTCAAGCCATGGGCCTACTAGGCTCGTAGTGCTATTATATATATATAATATTATATTGTTTAGTAAATATTTGTATTATTCGCGTTGTTTATTTTAGCTAATATAGTTTTATTGTTCTATTATTTTTGTTCAATTATTTGTTAGTTCTATTTAGTTTATTTAGTTATAGTTCTATTTTGAATTTTATTATTAGGGATAGTCAAAGTTTTCCATTTGTTTTATCAGATAATGCGTTGGTAAGTTTTTCTTAAATAAATATGATAAATGTTCTTTAAAAGTTAATATTTTTAGATGAGTAGGTTGATCACTAAAATATGTTTATGAAATTATGTAAATATGTTCTTAATAACAAAAACATTTCAGTTAACATCCAGTTCAGTTTGACATGGCGTCGAAAATTAAATTCGCTTAGAAATTTATAGCATGCATAAAGCTTCTATTATATATAAAATATGTACTATATATATAAAAAAATATATTTTATAAAAAAATTACAGTAATTTAGTTTATATCGATAAGTTGCTCCAAATGTAGGCAACCAACTTAAACTTTTTTTTAGCATTTAGCTGGAGTTTTTTGAGAATATTTTTAATAAACGTTTAATATTTTTCAGTTAATTTATTATTCTTTAAAAGTGATGATATTAATCATGAATAAGCAATATTTTAAATGATATTTAATCACAAAACGTACTTAATATTGTGATATTTAATCCTCATAATAAAGTACGTTAGATAAAAAGGTAAATTCCCGGGTCGTCCAAAACTAGTTTCAGATAAGAATAATAGAATATAATGATCTTTTTGAATTATATTTTTGATAATATTGGATTATAATTTTGATGAATGATTTTTTAATTATAATATGAATATTATGATATTTTTTATCTAACGTACTTTATTACAAGGATTATATAACATAATATTAAGTACGTCTTGTGATTATATATCGTTCGAAATATTACTTATTCAGCATTATTATCATGACTTTTAAAAAATATATTAAATTAACTAGAAAATATTAAACGTTTATTAAATATATTCTCAAGAAACTCCAGCTAAATCCTAACAAAAAGTTTAAGTTGGTTGCCTACATTTGGCGCAACCTAACGATATAAACTAAATTACCATAACTTTTTTATAAAACCTATAATAGAAACTTACTTTCTACTTTCTTTATACATGCAATAAATTTGTAATTCATAGTATAAGTTTGCAAAAGGGGACGACGAAATACTCTAATGAAATGCGCTATGAGTACGTGTGCTTGGTTGTATAGTAATTTCCAGCCACGTCTAGTCTGTCAAAAAGTAACTAACTTCGTAAAAAAATAAATACTAAAATCACTAGACAGTTCGGACTGAGATTAGCGAACCGAGATTAAGACGTTCAACACAAACGGCAAAAAATGGAAAAGCACTTGGCCCGATGAAGTAAGTGCTGAAATACTAAAGTTTTTGGGAGAAAATTGAATTAAAGCTCTGTGTAATCTCTTTAACAGAATTTATGACACTGGGATATTACCAACTGATTGGTTAAAGTCGACATTTGTCACAATACCTAAGAAACATCGTCCAAAGACATGGACAGCGGTGATTATCGGACAATAAGTCTTATGAGTCACGTTTTGAAGATCTTCCTGCGAATAATACACAGCAGAATTTACACGCTGTTAGAGGACAGAATTAGCAATACTCAATTTGGATTTAGGAGTAACTTGGGTACAAGAGAAGCCTTGTTTAGTATACAGGTACTAGTACAGAGATGCAGAGATATAAATCAAAATGTGTACATTTGTGCAATCGATTTTGAAAAAGCTTTTGACAAAGTCCGACATACAAATAATTACAAATCTATACTGGCATCAAGTGGCAAGAATAAAGGTTGAACAAGAACTCTCGGATGAAATAAATATAAAAAGAGGAGTGAGACAAGGCTGTATATTGTCGCCTTTACTTTTTAACTTATACTCGGAGAAAATATTTAAGGAAGCCTTAATGGAGACAACCGAAGGTATTATTGTGACTGGAGTAACCGTCAACAATATTAGATATGCCGACGATACCTAAGTCCTTGCCAATTGCGGAGAAGACCTTCAAAATCTAATGAACAAAATAAAATAGACTTGTGATCAGTATGGATTAAAACTCAACGTTAAGAAAACTAAATATATGATAGTTAGCAAACAAAATTATATACAGGATGACGGTATAAAAGTCGTAGATGCCACACTGGACAGAGTAGAGAAACTCGTGATTCTCGGCAGTAATATCAATGAGAGCTGGGATCCAACCGCAGAAGTTAAAAGCAGATTAGAACAAACCCGAGTTGCCTTTGTGAAAATGAGAAACGTACTTTGCAGTCACGATTTTAGCATTGACCTTAGAGTTCGTATGACATCTTGCTACATCTTTCCTGTCCTGCTGTATGGAGTGAAAGCGCGGACTCTAACTGAGGCTATGCTTAAACGCTTGACAGCCTTTGAGATGCGGGTATAGAGACGACTACTGAAAATAAGCTGGGTCGACAAAGTTAGAAATGAGGAGGTCCTTAGACGGCTGAGCCAAACAACAAAACTGGTCAATATAATAAAGAAACGCAAGCTGGAATACTTCGGGCACATTATGAGACACCCTGAAAAATATGATCTTTTACATCTCATCATTTAGGGAAAGATCCAAGGTAATCGTGGTCCTGGTAGACGAAGATCATCATGGCTGAAAAATCTAAGGCAATGGTATGGAAAATCAACTACATCGTTATTTAGAGCTGCTGTCAATAAAGTCACGATAGAGAATATGGTAGCCAACATGATATCCAACTATCGATAACGGTCATGGAACTAGAAGAACGTAAATGTAAGTTTTGCCTATAAATTTATTGATAACAACAAACAAAAACTAATTATTGTTTTTAACTGAATAATTTCTAATTTTTATTTCATGATTTTAAAGGCATATTAGTATAAATGATTCCCAGTATATTTATCACATTTAAGAATTTTAATAACAATTCGTCAACCACAATCTCAGGTATTTCTTTGTAAATATTATTCCAAAAACACATTTTATCATGTGCGGTGTTCGGTCTTATGGTTTTAGAAGATTGCATCGGTCTGCCTGGTTTTAGTTTATCATAGTAGTTCTGATATCATTTACCAACGTTATTCCTGCATATATGTAATAAACAAGTTCAATGTCAGTGGTTAATAAAATAAAAAATATCTAGAAATATATTCACAAGATCAAAAATAGACTCCCGTTCAAAATTATCGCACCTCCACGAATATTGTGATTGTATGGTGTTTTTCTAATTTTTAGTGGTTTTAATATTAGAATTATACAAATAAAGATCATTAAGCAATTGTAGTCAGAATTTTATTAATTTAAAATTAAAAAAATGAAGCAAATTTATCAATAAAGTAAAAGAAAATAAAAATACTAAACGGTAGATCCTAATAGCGTGTACAACTTTTCCGAGCTCTTGCATTAGTCTGGGTACTATTGTTCATATATTCTTGATACCTACTAAAGAAATGTTTGCCATTTTTAGTACAAAAATGCATATTTAATTTTTTTTTAAAGGAAAGACAGTTAAGATTTGATTTTACGTATACATTATCACTTTACATCTTTATCAAGGTCTGTTTTGCCTTTCAAATCTTAGAAGGCACAGATTAAAGCAAAAATCTGAATTTGGTTTCGACAATAAGAAATATTCGGATTTAGAGTTTCGGGAATTTTTTTTTTTTCATGACAGGCAAATAACGCCAAATCGAGTATTTCAGAGATTGCCATCTAAATATGCTCAACTAGATTGATATCAATCAGGATATTCGTGGTGATCTTCTAAGGTCAGAATATTAATACTGTTTAGATTTTTTAACATACGATTTGCTAAGTGAAACCTTGCATTTTTTGCATACAAATACTATCTTCAGGTCCCTGCCAGACTGTATAATGAGAGTAATGATTTTTTTTATGAAAGTCTTCGTTTATAAACCTGTCGTCCTGAAGCCAGTTGGCTTATTATACTTTGTTAGTTTTGTATTTTTCATGATACCCATTTTAGTATTCTCATACCCTGTACCAGCTTATACAGGTCTAGTGGATAGGTGCCATATATATTTATTTATTGACGGATATACTATTTTTACAACAATATAATGTTAACCTGTACAAAACATAAGTTGTGTTAAAAAAAACAAACGAAAATTAAAATTAAATTAAACTAAATTAGATTAGGAACTTTCCTTATCAAGTAATCATTCTCAAAGCCTTAAGTTATTTCTTAAATGTTGTAGGTATTCCAAATAACTTCAAACTATTCCTGTACTCATTGGCTTCTTCTTACGGTGCCTATCCGTTCCGTATGTTGGCGATCAGCATAGCTATCCTAACTTTACTTAACGGAATACAAAGAACTTAATCGAGCCATACGAAAACAGATAAAAGACGATATTAAAAAACATCAACAAGAACATGTAGAAAGAGTGATAGAGAAAAATCGAAGTCTGAAATATACCAAACCGAAATTAGTAAAGAAAAATATTATAACTACGAAAAATCAACAAGGCCAACTAGAAACAAGCAAAGCTCAGATATCAAACATAGTTGAAAACTTCTATACTGAGTTATACCGCTCAAGAAACGATCTCCCGGACTCTTCAAAGCAAAATCTGAAAAGACAAATAACAAACGTAAATTCTGAAGTAATGCCCGAAATAAGCGAAGTAGAAATAGAAAATGCAATTAAAGAATTGAAAAGAAATAAAGCACAGGGTAGTGATGAAATTCTGACAGAAATGTTGAAAGAAGGCGGAGAAGAAGTCATCGGGTACCTAAAAATACTTTTTAATAAATGCCTATTTGAAGGAAACATACCGAAGGAATGGAATACTCGAACTGCTAACACAATATTAATACACAAAAAAGGGGACAATACAGATCTGAAAAATTATCGTCCAATATCACTACTATCACAACTTTATAAAACATTGACAAAAATAATTACAAATAGATTGACAACAAAGTTCAATGTATATCAACCAGTAGAGCAAGCCGGATTTAGAAAAGGGTTCAGTATATGTGACCATCTTCACACACTAAAGCTCCCAACAGAAAAAGTTAACGAATACAAATTACCAATCTGTTTAGCATTTATAGACTACGAGAAAGCTTTTGACAGCATAGAATTATGGGCTATTGAGGAAGCACTGGTCAACAGCAGAATAGATTCTAGATATAGGATATTAATACATAATATATATCAACACGCTGAAATGAAACGAGGCCAATAAAATCAACCGAGGAGTAAGACAGGGAGACACCATATCTCAAAAACTATTTACTGCCGCACTTGAAGACATCTTTAAATCACTAAATTGGGAAACGAAGGGACTATCGATAAACGGTAAGTTTTTAAACCATCTAAGATATGCAGATGACGTAGTACTAATAGCCGACAGCTGGAAAGAACTGAAGACCATGATCGATGAGATTTATACGGAATTCATAAAAAAAGGACTGAAAATGAATCTGAGTAAAACTAAGCTAATGTCGAATAAAGATGATCAACCGACGATAACCATCCAAGGAACAAAAGTGGAACATGTAGAACAATACATATATCTGGGTCAGAATATCAAGGTAGACAAAGAAAACCAAGCTATCCAAATAATCAGACGAGTAAGAATTGGATGGGCCGCATTTGGAAAACTCTCATACATACTGAAAGACAAAAAGATACCCCAAAACCTTCAAACCAAAGTGTTCGATTCTTGTATCCTTCCCGTTCTCACTTACGGAGCTCAAACCTGGACATTCACAAAAAAGAACATGGACAAGATTAAAAAAACTCAGCGAGTCATGGAACGACAGATGCTTGGTATCTCACTAATAGATCGGCTAACGAATGAAGCAATCCGGAACAAAACAAAAATAAAGGACGCCGCGAAACAAGCAGCTAAATTAAAATGAAAATAGGCTGGACACAACGAACGTCTCGAAGATGGTAGATGGAACAAATAAGAAGTCGGAAACTGGCGACCGTACGATGCGTAGAGACCAAGAGGAAGACCTCAAATGCGCTGAAGCGACGATATCAAAAGAGTCGCAGGACCAATGTGGAAACGCCTAGCTCACAACAGGGATGAATGGCGAGAAATGAGAGAGGCCTTTATTTGACAATTCGGATAGAAAAAGGGCTATAAAAAAATCCTAACTTTACTCGCAGCCATTCGGAATTCTCCGGTTGTAGAAGTATTGAAACGTATATTGCGGGTAGGAGGTAGGAACTCCTTTGGAGTCCTTTGGATTCTACTGGATAGTCCTATCAGGGAAAGTGAATAAATCCCTGCTCTTCGCAGATTCCAGAAGCTTCTTGACCCGGGAAGCTAGCACCTACCCGGGAAGCTAGCACCTGCTAAGTGTCGCTTGTCCATTCTCACGGATGAAGTCCAGAACGGCATCCAAGGCGACCAAGAAATACTTTCAATACGGCGAAGATGGCGAAGTTAGTAAACCTTGGTTTTAGGGATAGTATAAGATCACAACCCGCGGCGTCTGATCCAAAGTGGGCGGCCGCAAACAGCGTCGGACCCAGAATGGGCGGCTGAAACAAACACTCACCAACACGTCTACCCAGCGTAGTGTTTAAAGCCTAAATACCCCTCACGAAAATGTCAGTTGAAAACACGCAAATACCCCAGGCAAGTAAAAAATTATTTACAGTATCTTGCAACTAATAAATTATCAGTTTGTCCCATAGATTCCGGTTTATATAGGAACATATAATGCACGTACCCTACCATCTGATGAAAGACTTACTGAACTTGAGTGCAAACTAGAAAACATAAAGTGGGACATAGTCGGTCTCAGCGAATTTAGAAGACGTGGCGAACACTCAAACTAAAATCAGGATATAGTTTTTACCACGTAGGTGGTGACAATAATTCCTTGGAAGGAACCGGCTTTATTATACACAAGCATCTCCAAACAAGTATAGTATCACTAAAGAAGTTTTCCACAAAAGTGATTTGTCTCACTCTTAAATTGAATACAAGGTATAATATGAAAATAATACAGGTTTATGCACCAACAACCATGATGAAGAAGAAGTGGATTTATTTTATGATGATATCGAAGCTGCTCTTAAAGACCATCAAGGACATTTTACTTTTATATGTGGTGATTTTAACGCCAAAACAGGAATAAAATACAACCTTACAGAAACACCACTGGGAAACTTTGGCTTGGATGGTAGATATGAACGTGGCGAAATACTATTAAGGTTCATGCTGCAATATAAACTATTCCAAATGAACTGTTTTTTCAAAAAGAAACCACAGAGAATATTGACATGGATAATTTTTCGACTGTTCTAACAACCATTCAAATTTCGTCATTTTGTGTCATGTGGAACAATTTCACCCAATCATGTCAACATTAGACTGATAATTGCATTCAGTGCAATATTCAATCCCTAAGACAACACGATCGAGTTTGACAACTTCATCCAAATAAATTTCAAAATGTCACGTTTTTTAAAAAAGAACACCACAACAAGATTATAAATATTATGCGTGGTAATAGATCTTCTATAGTAGAGAACAGCAACGAATCTAATGTTAACTTAAATTTTAATAATTGTACTTTCACTAACTGTACTTTTAATAAATAAATGTTTCGTTATGTTAAGCTATGATTTTTTTTTTCGAAAAATTATCCGCCGAATATCCCTCGGACATTGATGAATGCCTCATAATTTCATGACAAATTTCTCAAGCTCGAGCTCGAAGGAACGAGCTTTCGATTGCCATGAAATTATCTTGTCTGTTATCAATGTCCCAGCGATATTACTACTGATAATTTTTCGACTGTTCTAACAACCATTCAAATTTCGATATTTTGTGTCATGTGGAACAATTTCATCCAATCATGTCAACATTAGACTGATAATTGCATTCAGTGCAATTTTCAATCCCTATGACAACACGATCGAGTTTGACAACTTCATCCAAATAAATTTCAAAATGTCACGTTTCGGCAATCTAATGTTAACTTAAATTTTAATAATTGTACTTTCACTAACTGTACTTTTAATAAATAAAATGTTTCAATATGTTGAGTTATGATTTTTTTTTTCGAAAAATTATCCGCCGAATATCCCTCGGACATTGATGAATGCCTCATAATTTCATGACAAATTTCTCAAGCTCGTTGCTTGGTAACAGCACTCAGCCTTCGGCTTCGTGCTGTTACCAAGGAACGAGCTTTCGATTGTCATTATCTGGTCTGTTATCAATGTCCTTTATAGATATTACTACTGATAATAGATTTTATTATCACGGACCGAAACACGAAAAAACACACCGTTAAAGACATCACGGTTCTAAACATATTTGTTACCATAAATCATATAATGGTACGAGGTAAAATAGAAATAAGCTTAAAGAAGAAGAGGTATAAGATGAATAAAAAGAAGAACAAATCAAAATCATGGATGAAACCATCATATGTAGATAGTTTTCAGCAATGTATTTCCGACATACTTAGTAGTCCTGAAACAGAAAATAATATAAACGACTTAAATATTAAATTAACAAATGCTTTACTGGAAAGTCAAAATAAATTCTGTCCTATAACTCAAATGGAAGAGATTAGCCAAAATACTGGACAACTAATGCAAAAAAGAAGAAAAATGAGAAGCGAGGCGGAAACTAAAGCCAACGAACTACAAAAATTAAATAAAAAAATATACAAAGCTGTTAGACAAGACACTCGAACATAAAACCAAGAACAAATCGAATATACCATTAAGAGCAATAGAAGTATGAAAGTATTGAGAAAAAGACTACGAACAGGGACAAGGCATATAATAAAGATCAAAGATAGAAATGGTCATCTTACAGCCAATAGAATCCCTTAAAATAGTTGAAAACTTCTACAAATTGCTGTACACAAGCCAACACAAAGCAATTAGAAGAGGAAATCAAGTACCAGAAATATTAACAAAGAAAAAGGGCATTGTCAACCAAGGATCAGAACTACTACCGGAAATCACAATGGACGAAATAAAACTGGCCCTAAGCTAAGAATAACAAATCTCCAGGCGAATAATGTGTAGTTACTAATGCAATCAAAATTGGAGGCACTTGCCTACTTAAGAAAATAAAAAACTTTTTTAACATGTGCCTTTTGGACAGTAATATACCCGACAAGTGGACAATGCTAAGGTAATTCTATTATACAAAAAAGGAGATGCCCATGAATTAGAAACCTACAGACCTATAAGTCTTCTTACTCACCTATACAAACCCTTAACAAGAATAGTAACGAATCGTCTTAAGAAAAACCTGATTTGTTCCAGCCAGTAGAGCAAGTAGAATTTCGTACCGGATTTGGAACAAATGATCACCTACAGAGCATTAAAACGGTAATAGAAAAGACTATCGAATACAATCAACCACTCTTTCTAGCTTTTGCAGATTTCCATAAAGTCTTTGACTCGGTAGAATTTGACAAAATCCTGGAAGCAATACAAGCATGCCACATTGACTACCGATATACAAGGTTAATTTCGACCCTCCCAACGAAAACTATCGTAACTCATTTTTTTTTTCAATTTTAAGTTATTACCATAATCAGATTTTATGATACCGAAATTTATTCCAGAGAATACTATAATAACTAAAATCGTAATATAAACAACACAATATACGTTAATGTAAATGTAGTATCTCAATGCTCTCTGTACTTTACCGCGAAGAAAGTAGTATGATGGAGTTGCTACAGTGTTCGCTGTAAATTTGTGAGAAGGGACCGAGATACGGCTATACTTTTAAAGCGAATAAAATTAGGTTATGTTAAATGTCGTTTTACATTAGATGAAGTGCTAAAGATAATCTTGTTTATTGTTATAATAATTTGTAATATTGTCGCAGAGAACTAAACGAATTTTGGGATTACTTGTTAATAATAATACACAAATAGCACCAGATAAGTTGCTGTCATTAAATTTATCTATTTATCTATTTAAAATCTGAATGTTCTACATAGCATGGACAGTAAAAAAGTTAATTTCAAAGGAACAATCTAGGTATTTAATATTTAAACGTTTCTCTTTTTTTTTTCATTTAAATTTTTTTATTTATTTTTTGTTTTAGACAACGAAAATAGAAGTAACGACGAAAATCATACCGTTGGCATTGATACCAATATATTTCCTTCTGATTATTCCGATAATGATCTGAAATATGTTTCTTCTGGATCAATCAACAATCTAGGTATTTAATCATTTAAATCTTTCTTTTATTTTTAATTTAAATTTCTTTATTTTTTTGTTTTAGACAACGAAAATGAAAGTAAAGACAACAATAATACCGTTGACATTAATACCAACATATTTCCTGCTACTTATTCCGATGATGATCCAAACTACGTTCCCTCAGAATCAGAAGCCGAAAACGAAAATTTGAATCTATCTGATAACAAGACAAGTAATGTGTCATTAGACAGACTATCATCAAAAAGAAAGCAAAAGGTATCAGAAAAGGTTAAGATAGGAAGAAATCGAGTTAGAAATGAGAACAAATGGATTAAAAAAAAGCCAAAAGAGAATTTAAGAGCGGTCTGGAATATAAGAACCGCAAGGATAAGTTTATACCTACAAAAAAGATGAAGGTTCCTTGTAAGGATATTTGCAGATATAAATGTAATAGCATATTAAATTTTGAAACAAGACAAGTAATTTTTGACGAATTTTGGAAACTTGGAGATCATACCAGGCAGTGGGATTTTCTTGCAAGGTGCGTGACACAACAAGGTAAAACGCAAATCATTGTAAACAATTCTAGGATAAACTTTTCGCGCAAATATAAATTTAATATTGGTAATACCGAGAAACAAATTTGCAAGACAATGTTTTTAAATACGCTTGCCATTTCTGAAACTTTTGTTAGCACTGCATTGAAAAAAATTAGTGAAGCTGGTACCATAGAAGCGGATAAGAGAGGAAAACATAATACTAGACCGCACAAGATCCCGGATAGTGTAAAAGATAACATTGTAGAACACATAAAATTATTTCCACTGGTACCTTCTCATTATACAAGGAAAAACTTAAAACGCACGTACTTAGAAGAGGGCTTAAACATATCTGTAATGCACCGAATGTACGTTGAATATGCCAAACTAAAAAAATGGGATGTCGTCGCTACAGTTAGAGAATACAGGGATACTTTAAACTCACAATTCAACATTGCATTTTTCAAGCCTAAAGTGTTCAGTATGCAGTGCGTATAACAATACAGATACAGAGAAAAGAACTCAATCAATGGAAGAAAATTACAATAGCCATGTTTTAAACAAAGATTCTGTTAGAAATCTGAAAGATGCTGATAAGGAACTGTCAAAAAGTAATAAATCGTTTTTAACAATATGCTTCGATTTGCAGAAAGTATTAGTAACGCCCAAGTCAGAGGTAAGTAACTATTATTATAAGAGTAACCTTGCAACTTATAATTTTACTATTTACGATTTGGGCAATAATCAAGGATATTGCTACGTATGACATGAACAAATATCAAAAAGGGGGTCGAATGAAATTGCAAGCTGTTTATGGCATTTTTTAAAAGGTGCAAAACGAGATGGCATTCGAAAAGTCGTGTTATACTCCGACAATTGCGGAAGGCAAAACTGCAATCGTTTTATTTTTTCGATGTTTGCTCATGCATCGGTGACTTTGGATCTGGAAATAACACACTGTTTTCTTGAGATTGGTCATACCCAGAACAAAAATGACAGCATGCACGCTGTTATAGAAGTTGCAAAGAAACGACATTCAAATATTTATACTCCTGGCCAGTGGATTAGCCTCATAAAGATGGCGAAAGTTACTTCTCCACAGTATAGAGTAAAATAAATGTCTCAAGAAGACTTTTTTAGTTTCAAACCAATGGTTCAAAAACAGAACTGGAAGAGAACTAACACTGCGGAGGTGGTAAAGATAAGCAAAATTAGGGAAAATCACTTCGAACCGAAGAATCCCTATAAAGTTTATTTTACCTACAGTTTTGCAGAAAATTACAAAGGACTCGACATCGCAACATCAAAATTACGTAAACCTCAAGAATATAAACTACCACGTTTATACCAAGGTCTTTTACCAATTGGCAGTAAAAAATTAAATGGTCTATTAAGTTTATGTAAAGCCAATTTGATACCAGCAATGTACCATGGGTTTTATAACTCCCTGCGGCCTGCTAATAAAGACCTTCCACCAGAGTGCTCTACAGATCAAGAAACTGGTTCCGAATCTGAACAATAGCAGTGTATTATACTTAGCAATTAGTCGTTAATTATTATTATAATTAGTGTCATAATGCCATTATAAACAAATTGCTAAAAATAAAATATTTGTTAATTTTTTTTTTGTTTTATTATTGTAGTATGTTTTTATAACTGAAATTTTTGTCGACGAATACTGTAGTAACTCATTCAAAATCCAAAATCGAATAACCTTATGAAATTTTTATTTCTTTTGCAATAATTATGATTGCACAAATAATTACTGAGTGAAAAAATGAAAAACGTAGTAGTGATAATTAAAAAATTACAGAACGTCACTTTTCACAATTATTTTTAAACGCAATTATTTCGGAATGAGCGATCTTGAGTTACGACAGTTTTCGTTGGGAGGGTCGATTTACACTACATACGAGAACACAACTATGTCGGTGAAACTACATAAAAACACGGATTGCACCCCAATCAGCAAAGGAGTCCGACAGGGTGATACCTTATCGCCTAAACTATTAACTGCAGTACTAGAATATGCTTGTAAAAAACTTAACTGGGTAGAGAAAGGCCCATTGACGGTAGAAGAACAACAAATTTAAAATTCGCAGATGACATAGTTTTGTTCTCGGACAGCCTCAAGGAGATACGTACAATGCTACATGAACTTCAGATTGTGTGCTAGTGTGGGTCTTCAAATAAACATCTCTAAACCAATATTCATGACAAACCTAGTACCTAGCGGAAATATCAATATTGAAGACAACGAAATAGAGCTGGTGAAAAAATACATATATCTTGGACAAGAAATAAAAATCAGAAGAGACAACCAAACATGCGAACTACGAAGAAGAATAAACCCAGCATGGACAGCCTATGGAAAACTCAAAGACATCTTTAAAAGCGATATATTAATTTCTTTAAAACGTAAAACATTTGACCAATGTGTGTTGTTTGTGATTTGGTGCCAAAACTTTGACATTGACAGCTACAAGTTCTAAAATGCTGCAAATAGCTCAGAGGAAAATCGAAAGATCCATGCTGAGTATATAGCTTCGTGACCGAGTTAGAAATGAAGAAGTAAGACGAAGAACAGGAGTTACCGATGTAATTTCCTGAATTGCCGCACTGAAATGGAACTGGGCCGGACACGTCGCCCGAATTAGTGATGAAAGATGGACGACGAAATTTCTTGAGTGGAGACCGAGGTTAAAGAAAAGAAGTAGAGGAAGACCCCCTATACGTTGAACTGACGATCTCAAGAACATGTCAAGAAATTGGATGAAAAGTATTTATGTCCAGCAGTGGACGCAAAGGGCTGGGTGATGATGATGATGAGACGTATTGAACCACTTCCTTAGGTTTTGAAACTAAGCAACATAGTCTTCTTCTTCCTGTTCCTTCCTTTTCAAATACCTTGCTATGAAGAATGAGTTGCAATAAGCCATATCTCTGTTCATTTCTTATAACATGGCCAAGATATTTTAATTTGTGCTCTTTGATAATAGTATTAATGATCTCGCAGTCCTTTCCCATTATCACGATCCACCCATGAAATTCGTAAGATGCGCCTATAACACCACATCTCGAAGGCCTCTAGCTTACTTAAAACAACTTCAGAGAGCGTCCATGCCTCTAGTTCGTATAATAATGTAGAAAATACATAGCATCTAATGATAGAGATTTTGGTACCAAGTAGTAAATCGAAACTTCTGAAAAGAGACTTCATCTTTACGAACGTTGATCTTGCTTTTCCTATGCGTTGTTTTATTTCAGTAGAGTGTTCCCGTTCACTGTTTATGTTAGTACCAAGATATGTGTATGTGTAGCTGTTTACCCTGTCAATTGGCTTTTGGATTACCAATAGATGTGTATTTAATATTTCGCGCTTACTAACTACCATGTACTTTGTTTTGTTCGTATTGAGATCCAGCCCATATTCTGGACTTATATCTGATAATCGTGTCATTATTGCTTGTAAATTATCTAGGTTATCTGCAAAACTACTGCGTCGTCAGCATATCTAATGTTGTTTAGATGCACTCCGTTAACTAAGACGCCTGCCTGTAGTTTTCCTAGTGCTTGCTCGAAGATTCGCTCCGAGTACATGTTAAATAGCACTGGAGACAGAATGCATCCTTGTCCCACTCTCTATCTTTGGAGATTGCCTCTGTCAACCAATTTAATGTTGGCAGTTTGGTTGTAATATAAATTATACAGAGTGGCCCAAAAGTCTGGAAACGGCCAATTATCTCGTAAATTGCTAGTTATAATTGTACAAAATTTAAGGTACACCTTGGTATTTGGGGATACGGAGATTCCATATTTGATATTTGCAATGTTGCCAGATTCTCCGTTTCTCTTATATTATTAGTAACTTTGGGTTTTTAAATACATCACCCTGTATATTTAGTCATTATTGGAATCTCCTATTCAATACGAGTTCAACCATATGTAACACTTATGATTTTATGTAGTCTGAAAGGTCTTAAATACATAAAACACAAGTCTGGCAACGCCTAATTATTTCAATAAATTTTTTAATACTAATTATTTTCAACTATATTAAAACGTAACAATTGATGGAATAGACCATTTTTTAACAATAGTTACGTTAGTAAGTGTTCAAAATGTGCTCAATTTATGAGTTGACAGTACCCTAATCGATGGTAGAATGCGTCTATCACATTTCTCCATGATGGTCTAGAAACAATTCGAGATTCATCGATAATTCGTTGCCTTAGTTCTGCAAGACTTGCTGGTTACTTTTTGTAAACTGAATTTTTCAAGTATCCTAATAAAAATAATCTTTATGATTGAAATCGGGTGAACGTGAAGGCCATTTAATTTTACCTTGTCTACCAATTTATCGTCCGGGAAATATCTCATCTAAATAACGCCGAACATTTACACCAACTATCTGACGTTAAACTTTTTTCGATAAAAAATGTCCCAAAAATTGAGCATATTTTGAACACTTAATAACGTAACTATTGTTAAAAAATGGTCTAATCTATCAATTGTTACGTTTTAATGTAGTTAAAAATAATAAGTATAAAAAATTTATTGAAACAATTAGGCGTTGGCAGACTTCTGTTTTATGTATTTAAGACCTTCCAGACTATAGAAAATCATAAGTGTTACATATAGTTGAACTCGTATTGAATAGAAGATTCTAATAATGACTGAATATACAGGGTGATGCATTTGAGAAACCAAAGTTACTAATAATATCAGAGAAACGGC